TTAAAAGAAATATCCCTGCCTGAGTGGTAACTGCAGCTGAAACCAGAGATAGGAGCAGAAACGGTGCACAAATGTGTGGCAGCTGTGGTCTAGCAGCCAGCATTACCAAGCAGAGAACAAAAGTAGGACATAGAGCACCTCCACTCACAATCCTAGAGCTCCCAGAGGAGCCTGCACACACTGCAGCAGGGGAAGTGTGTGGAATAACAGCATACACTCTTAGCCGCCCCGAGGACCAGTGGAGCAAAAATATTTCTCTCTGTTCGGCAGGTGCACATGGTGGCTAAATCCAGTGACGGTGCAGAGATAAAGAGGTGTAGCAGCTAAGGCCCACCAGCTGCCATCACTAGGAAAAGAACCAGTCTGTAAATGCAGAACCAGCCTCTCCCTGACACAGCCCATGACAGCAGAACCCAGTAGAGCCACCTGGGGCACCTCAGGGAGAACAGCACTATTGGCAACATCTGGTGGCAGGAGGCAGCACTGGGATCTTGCGGGGCCACAACATTCCCCCATGAAGGTGGTACCATTAGACACAGGTGACCTGGAAACAGTGAGCATTCCCACCTCCCTAGGGAATACAGGGCATTTTCCACAGCCAAGGCAACAGCATCCAACAGAAGTCTCAGCAGTATAAGATAAAATAAAAACATGTGCCTCAGTGCTACCTATTGGAAAACAAGAGAAAGATCTCTACATTCAACCTGCTAAATAATGAAGTGTCAAATACTTGTTTTTAGTGAAGGAAGAGAGAGAAAACAACATTGATGTGAGAAAAAATACTGATGAGTTGTCTCTCTTAGAGGCCCCAAACAGGAATCACATCCAAAACCTACATATATGCCCTGACCATGAATCAAAGCAGCAACTTTTCAGTGTATGAGATGATGCTCCAACCAGTTCAGCCACCTGACCAGGGTTCAAATATTTTTTTTCAAAAAAGCATTATTTCATTTCCACAAATGCCCAAGCAAAGACATGACCCATCATATACCATAGAATAATGACGGTAACAAAATAGCTCAGGAAGAAAATGGGAAAACTGCAGCAAATAAACTTGACTACATAAAAATATGTGATTTAGCCCGACCATTGTGGCTCAGTGGCTGACTTCACAGGAGGTCAGGGTTTTATTACCTGTCAGGAAACATACCCGGGTTGCGGGCTCGATCCCCAGTAGGGGACATGCAGGAGGCAGCCAATCGATGAGTCTCTCTCATCATTAATGTTTCTTTCTCCCTCTCCATTCCTCTCTGAAATCAATAAAAATATATTTTAAAATATTATCAAGTCAGCTCTAACCTGTGTTCTCAATGATTAGCGTTGGCCAGAGAGTCTTGGATTCAATTCTCCATCAAGAGCACAGTGCCTGAGTTGCAGGTTCTTGATCCCCAGACTGGTGCAAGAGACAACCAATTGATGTGTCTCTCTCACATTGATGTCTCTCTCTCCTCTCCCCTTTCCTTTCTTTTATTCTACCTAAAATCAATGGAAAAACATCCTCAGGGTGAGGATTAACAAAACATACACACACTCTCTCTCTCTCTCGTCTCCAAGGGCAATTTGGCAGAAATAAAAACATCAAAAATTAGAACACTGTTTATGCTTGGTATTCTCCAAAGCTGAGATGGCAGCCAAGCACCCACCCACTCTCTGAAGACTGTAGGGTTGCTATTAATCACGTGGCATCTTACGAGCTGCACATCAGTGATGCTCATTTATCTATGGCCTGTTATTACATTGAAGGCCTAGGAGAACCTTGTTTTGCTGCATTCTTTGAAGACCAAGCTGAGGTGAAAAGGGAACATGGAAAGCAATTCTTGAGATACAGGATGTGAGAGTAATATCTGCCTTCCAGGGACTAAGAAACAGATAACTGGGGAACTGGCACACAAGCTCTACAGTCTGCCCTGGAGTTGGAGAACAAGTAAGCTAGCTCTTGCTAGACCTGAAGAACATAGCTTCTGCCAACAATGAATATGATGTCTTATGCTTCATGGGAAAGTGCCCGGATGAACAGAAGAGTCACACAAAGTCCCTGCAAAACCAGCTGGTATGTCATAAGGAGTCAGAAAATCAGGCCCAGCAGGAGGAAGCCCCATTGAAAAAGCCGGCTGTAGTGTTAGGTAAACAGACCTAATGACCGAGGGAACAAAGCAAGTCTTCCCATTGTAGTGGGTCCCAAAACCAGCCACTTAAGAATCTTAGTCTCCATTTGACAGAAGACTGCCTTCCTTCACTGGTGTGTGTGGACGAATAAATCTTTTTGCATTAAAAAACAAAACAAAACTAGAATTCATATGGAAGCAAGCAAAGGGATCTAGCAGGGGCCAAACTTTCTTCAAATAAAAGAATCTTAGAGGCTTCACCTTTTTAAACTGAAGAGCACATTAACACAGATACTTAAAAGGAATAGAACGTAAGAAAATGCCTTGAAATGAACCCAAACTGCAACAAACAAAGATTTCTGTCTCAAAGAACCTAATCCACAGGGTGATAATGTAACCTCCAAAAAATGGATGTGATAGGTAATGTAACCTCCAAAAAAATGGATGTGATAAAAATGATCCAAAGAGCCGAAACCGGTTTGGCTCAGTGGATAGAGCGTCGGCCTGCGGACTGAGAGGTCCCAGGTTCGATTCCGGTCAAGGGCATATACCTGGGTTGCGGGCACATCTCCAGTAGGAGATGTGCAGGAGGCGGCTGATCGATGTTTCTCTCTCATCGATGTTTCTAACTCTCTATCTCTCTCCCTTCCTCTC